AAAAAAAAAAAAAGTCTTCCTTTATTTTTTTGATTTTTTAAAAACATTTAATTCGTTGGGATTTGTTTTGGGTATAGTGTAAAACAGGGACTGACTTCATTATTTATAACTGAATCATCAATTTATCCAGTACCATTTATGAAATGACTTCACTGTTTTCCCATGGATTTAAAATGCCATCTTAATCAGATACTAAATTTTCATATATACAAGGGTCTGTTTGAAGATACTAAATTCTATTTCTTTTTTTTTTTTTAAAGATTTTATTTATTTACTTGACAGAGAGAGACAGCGAGAGAGGGAACACAAGCAGGGGGAATGGGAGAGGGAGAAGCAGGCTTCCCACTGAGCAGGGAGCCCGATGAGGGGCTCGATCCCAGGACCCCAGGATCATGACCCAAGCTGAAGGCAGATGCTTAACGACTGAGCCACCCAGGCGCCCCCCAAATTCTATTTCTGTATGTTTTTGTTTTCATACATTAACAGAGACAGTCTCCCTCATTTTATCCTTACAAATGAACTGGAGAATTAATACTGTCAAGGCCTAAAATAATTTTGTTCCATTTTAGATTTCACAAGACATCTAAATTAGTTTCACTGTTATAGATACCTAGAAAGCACAGCCTACAGTCTAGCCATGTCGATGGGAGAAGGGAAAAGAAAACTGCATCATGAACAACAGAGTAGATGCCACCTATTAAGTACCTATTTGGAACAGGCCCTGTAATAAACTCTTTACATACATTAGCTCATTTAATCCTCAAAACACGGCCGTGAGGTACTTACCTCTTCTTGTTTTCATTTTGTAAATGGAAACACTGAGGTAATGCAAAGATTAAGGTATATTCCAAGGACATAGAGGGATTAAGCAATGAAGCTGGGATTACAACTCTAGACAGCTAAATCCAAATCCTATATTTATAACCAAGTCTGAAACATACTGATTCAATTTCATTTTTTTACTGCAATTTTAAAATATAATTTCAGCTTACCAAAATCTGAATTATTTCCTCAGGCCTTTTATCCTCTACTGGAATCCCATTCACTTCCCTAAGTTCATCACCAACATGAATAAGACCTGAGAAGTAGCAAATTTGGTAAATTAGCAGAGTTACCTACAAAAGATCCGCAATTTGCAATCATGTCCATACTCAAAGCACTGTTTCATTCCCTTAATGCATTTGCGGAGACCTTTAGGTTTCTCAGGTTTCAGACTCTGTACCTCTAAACAGCGATGAATCAAAGACTACCATGTTATAATGCTGGCAAAGAAAGGACATCAGCATCCCGGTCTTCGTCTAGAAATGTATATTATTTTCACCTAATAAAAGAATTTTTATTTTGTTTCAAAGGCTGCACACATGCAGTAGTACTTTTCAAATCAGAAACATTTGAAACAGATCTTAATGTAACTCTGGAAGCCCATGTAAACTGAGATTGTAAAGTGGAGTGAGATGTATCATTTATTTCAATAGGTTCCCACAGTTCAACACAGAGAAAAATATCTCACTGTTTTGATGTATTACAGCAGAAGATTGTTATCCTCTTTAAAATTACATGTTGGAAATGTTGCCCATAAAATGCAACATGACTTGTCCACAAGCCTACTGTTGAAATCCTTACCACGTCTTTTTTTTTTTAATCCTTACCACTTCTATCCGCAGCTCCTCCCCTCATGATTCTAGCCACAATGATGGCTCCAGTCTGCTCATCTTTCTTAATGGTAGCTCCCTTTGAAGGAAAACAAAAAAAAGTACTTGTGGGTAAAGGTGTGCATTGGGTGGTCCGAAAGGGAGCAGAAATAAGGACATTTACCTGGAAAAAGTGAAAACAATTACAAAAAATTAAAGGTACGAGGCAGGTGTCTTACAAACACTCCTGACTTGGGACAGATTTTCTATCAGACACATCATCTATGGTTTTCAGCACAACATTTAAGGATTTTTCAAATCTTTAACCTCTTCAACACGATGGAAAATACAAATATCTTCTTTCCATTATAATACCTTGTATTTGGGGGCGCCTGGGTGGCTCAGTCATTAAGCGTCTGCCTTCGGCTCAGGTCATGGTCCCAGAGTCCTGGGATCGAGCCCCGCATCCGGCTCCCTGCTCCGCGGGGACCCTGCTTCTCCCTCTCCCACTCCCCCTGCTTGTGTTCCCTCTCTCGCTGTATCTCTCTCTGTCAAATAAATAAAATCTTTAAAAAAAAAAATACCTTGTATTTGAATTATGATTTGTTTTTGCCGCTTGACAGCATTTGTTCATCTCATTTGTCTTTATAATACCCCATGAAGAAGGTGGGCTACACTGAGATTAAGTTAATATAAAAATCTTATATAAATTAGAAAACTAAAGCCCAGGTCATCTGGCTTTTAGTTTAGTGATCCTTTATTACACCATTATGGTAAAGGAACTCAGCCATAATGACAAAGAAAGAGAAAAAAAAAAAAAAAGACTTAAACTCCGAAATTAGTCTTATTCCTTACCTAATGCTAAGATAAACTAATGGAAGAAAGATCTGTTACTCCAAGGTCTTTATGTACTAGGACTGTACTTAGTACAAAGAGAACTAACATTTTGGCATAAGATTAGGAAACAATTTCAAAAAGAGTCCAGAAACTCTTCATTTATGGATGTTCAGAAGCAAATTAACTGAATGCTGCTTAATAAGAACATCAGGCACAAATGGTTACTTTGAACACCTTTTTATGACTTTCCTTCTAAGAAACTGGTATTGGTGTAGGAAAGCATTCTACAATGGCATCACACAGCTAAAAAGATGCACATTAGGTGGTGGCAGAATTCACCCTGAAAATTAAATTTTTCTCACATGTCAATAAACACATGTGTATCATTAAAAAATAGGTATGTAAACAAAATTAGGAATACATTTGTAATAAGTATATTTTATATGATAGCTATCAAATACATATCTAATAATGGTTTTTAAAAAATCAAATAATTAAGTGATCAGATGATTTTGTGACATTTTTTATCACCAAGCATGTCCGTTCACGTCCAAAGACTTAAATGAGCATCTCTCCACAATCATAAACACCAAACCTATAAAGACCCATCATTAACTTACCATTAATGGTAAGTTCTGCCTTTCTTTAAACAGTTTACTTACAGCCAAGATGACTAGAAATGTAATATTTTTAATAAAACTAGTGTGATTGAATAAACTTTCATTTGCTTTAACAATATCTCAAACCTTCCCATCAAAGTATGCCTAATGGCAGAAGGGTCTAGTGACCTAATTTAAGATTAATAGCCCATTTTTTTAAAGTGTTCTTTTTTCCCTCATATTTTTTCCTTTTTTGAGGTAAAATTGGCATGTAATATTATATGGCTTTCAGTTATACACCATTACAATTTGACACCCGTATGCACTACAGAGATCACCAGAAGTCTAGTTACCACCCACAACCATATAATTGACCCTGGTCACCCATTTTGCCCCCACCCCCCCCCGCCACCAACCTTCTGGTAGCCACCAATCAGTTGTCTGTATCTATGAGTTTGTTTTGTTTGTTCATTTGCTTTTTTCTAGACTTTACATATGAATAAAATTATATGGTATTTGTCATCCTCTAACTTCTTTCACTTAGTATAATACCTTCAAGGTCTCTCCATGTTGTCACAAATGGCAAGATTTCATTCATTTTTAATGGCAGGGTAATATTCCGTTGTGTGTGTATCTATATATAGATACACACACACACACAAACAACCCACATCTTCTTCACCTCTTCGTCTACTAGTGGACATTTAGGTTCTTTCCAGGTCACGGCTATTGTATATAATGTTACAATGAATACAGGGGGGCATATCTCTTTTCTTTTTTTTTTTTTTTAAGATTTTATTTATTAATTAAAGAGAGAGAGATCACGAGCAGGAGGAGGGGTAGAGGGAGAAGCAGACTCCCCAATAAGAAGGGAGCCCAATGCGGGACTCAATCCCAGGACCCCAGGATCATGACCTGAGCTGAAGGCAGACGCCTAACCAAATGAGCCACTCAGGTGCCCAGGGCATATATCTTTTCAAGTCAGTATTTTTATATTCTTCAGGTAATAGCCAGAAGTAGAATAGATGGATCATATAGTAGTTCTAGTCTTAACGGAGACTTCTCCATACTGTTTTTCATAGTGGCTGCACTAATTTACATTCCCATAAACAGTGTACAAGGGTTTCCTTTCCTCCACATCCTCACCCACACTTGTTATATCGTCTTTTTGATAATACCCATTCTAACTGACGTGAGGTGACGTGTCAAATGCAGTTTTGATTTGCATTTCCCTAATAATTATTGACGTTGAGCATCTTTTCATGTGCCTATTGGCCATCTGGATGTCTTCTTTGGAAAAGTGTCTATTCAGATCCTCTGCCCATTTTTTAATTGAGTTGTTTGGGGTTTTGTTTTGTTGTTTTGTTTTATTTATTTATTGAGTTGTAGAAGTTCTTGATATATTTTGCACATTATCCCTTATCAGATATATGATTTGCAAAAATCTATTCAGTAGATTATCTTTTCATTTCGATGATTTGCTGCAGAAGTTTGATGTAGTCCAATTTGTTTATTTTTGTTTCCCTTGCCTTTGCAATCAGATCTACAAAAATACTGCTAAGACACATGTCAAGGAGCTTACCACCTATGTTTTCTTCTTTTAGGAATTTTACAGTTTCAGGTCTTATGTTCAAGTCTTTAATGCATTATGAGTTAATTTTTGTGTATAGGGCAAGACAGTGGTCATGTTTCATTCTTCTGCATGTGGCTGTTCAGTTTTTCTCAACACCATTTATTGAAGAGACTTTCCTTTCTCTATTGTATGTTATTGGCTCTTTCGTTACAAATTAATTGTCCATATTATGTGTGGGTTTAATTTTGGGCTCTCAATTCGGTTCCATTGATCAGCATGTCTGTTCTTATGCCCATACCAAACTGTTCTGATTACTATAGCTTTGTAGTATAATTTCAAATCAAGGAGCATGAAGCCTCAAACTTTGTTCTTTCTCAAGATTACTTTGGCTATTTGGGATCTTCCATGGTTCTGTAAAAATTTTAGAATTTTTGTTCTAGTTCCATGAAAAATGCCCTTGGAATTTTGAGAGGGGACTGCAATGAATCTGTAGACTGCTTTGGGTAGTATGGACATTTTAACAATATTAATTCTTCCAATCCATGACCATGAACTATCTTTCCATTTATTTGTGTCTTCTTTAATTTTTCATTAGTGCCATGGTTTTCAGTATACAGATCTTTCACTTCCTTGGTTAAATTTATTCCTAGGTATTTTATTCTTTTTGGTGTGCTTTTAAATGAGATTTTTTCTTAATTCCTCTCTCTGATAACTCATTATTCATGTATAGAAATGCCAGATTTCTGTTATGTTAATTTTGTATCCTCCTACTTTACTAAATCCATCTATTAGTTCTAACAGTTTTGGTAGAGTCTTTTGGATTTTCTATATATAGTGTTGTGTCAACTGCAAATAGTGATAGTTTTAGTTCTTCCTCCCTTGGGTGTCTTCTATTTCTTTCTCTTGCTTAATTGCTGTGGCTAGGACTTCCAGTACTGTGTTGAATGAAAGTGGCAAGAGTGTGCAATTCTCTTGTTTCTGATCATAGAGAAAAACTGCCAGCTTTTTACTGTTGAGTATGATGTTAGCTGTGGGTCTGTCATATATGGCCTTTATTATCTTTACTCACTTTGTTGAGTTTGGATCATATAAATGGATGTTGAAGTTTGTCAAATGATTTTTCTGCATCTATTAAGATCATATGATTTTTATCCTTCATTTTGTTAATGTGGTGTTGATTGATCTGTGGGCACTGAACCATCCTTGGATCCCTGGACTAAATCCCACTTGATTGTGGTTTATGATCTGTTTAATGTATTATTGAACTCGGTTTGCTAATATTTTGTTGAGAATTTTTTCATCAGTGTCATCAATGATACTGGCCTGTAACTTTCTGTGTATATGTGGTATTCTTGTCTAGTTTTGGTATCAGAGTAATGCTTCATAACTAATGAAGTGCTCCCTCCCCTTAAATTTTTTTTGTAAGAGTTTTAAAAGGATATGTATTAAATCTTCGAATGTTTGATAAAATTCATCTGTGAAACCATCTGGTCCTGGACTTTTGGGAAGTTCTGATTATTAATTCAATATCCTTGCTAGTAAGTGGTCTATTCAGATTTTCTATTTCTTTATGACTTGGTCTTGGAAAATTTTATGTTTCTAGAAATTTATCCATTTCTTCTAGGTTGTCCAATTTGTTGGCCTATAATTGTTCATAGTCTCATGATTCTTCGTATTTCAGTGGTGTCAGTTGTAACCTCTCTTTCATTTCTGATTTTACTTGACTCCTTTTTCTTGATGAGTCTGGCCAAAGGTTTGTCAAGTTGCTTTATCTTTTCAAAGAACCAGCTTAGTTTCATTGACCTTTTCTATTGTTTTGTCTCTTTCATTTATTTCTGCTCTGATCTTTATTTTTTTAAGATTTTATTTATTTGACAGAGAGAGAGCACAAGTAGGAGAGAGGCAGGCAGAGGGAGAGGGAGAAGCAGGCTCTCCGCTGAGCAGGGAGCCCGATGCGGGGCTCCATCCCAGGACCCTGAGATGAAGGCAGACGCTTAACCGATTGAGCCACCCAGGCGCCCCTGCTGTGATCTTTACTATTTCTCTCCCTCCATTAACTTTGGGCTTCCGTTTTGTGTAAAATCAGATTAT